CAAGAGCAGCCAGGGCTCTCAGCTGCTGAGACATTTTTCCAGCCCCATGGAAGGGAATAATTTTTTTTTTTTTTTGGTGTTTTTGAGACAGGGTCTCCCTGTAGTCCTAGCTGGCCTGGAACTCATTATGTAGACCAGGATGGCCTTGAACTCAGAGAGATCTGCCTGCCTCTGCCTCCCAAATGCTGGGACTAAGGACATGTGCCACCACACCTGGCTGGAAGGGAATAATTCTTAAGCATCTGCATGGTATATCCCAGGTCACCTACCCTGGCCACCCTCCTTTCCTTGCCCAGTGGCACCCTTTGAACCATTAAAATAGCAGCCAGCATTGGGTCAACCCTGAGCCAACATGTGGTATGTACACCTCTCACCTCTGGGTCACAGAAGTTTCCAGTTCAGAACATTTAGTTAGCTTGGCAGTTAACAACTCTGCACCAAGACACCAAGTCCCTGCAAAGGGGCTTGGACCTCAGAGCTCTGAAGGACTGTTTTTATCAAGTGAAATATTTGGTTTGGCAGGGGGTTGCTGCTGGTTTCCTGGAGGCTATTTTCCACTTGGTACAAGGCAAAGAGTTGTGGGGTGTCAGGAAGGCTTACCTGTGGCTTTAATAGTGTGTGTGTGTGTGTGTGTGTGTGTGTGTGTGTGTGTACGCGCACGTGTCCTCTTGACATCCTTTTAGGGGATGGCTGTTTTACTGTAGAAAGTCCACCTGGTCTCTGCCTGCTGCAGCCTGCTAGTCTAAGGGTGGGTTGGTTGGATGGCTTAGATTGTCTAGATGCTCAGTGCTGACCTGGCATAGTGTTGGCTTGCTGGACTGGCCGACCTGCTATTTCCTGAGTCAGGTGGTTGTTGGGGGCTGCTGGGGGCCCCGAGAGGAGGAATCTCAATTCTCGATGCTCTAGAACTCAACCCTGAGGTCATGAACTAGAGAGTGGATGTCCCAACAAAGAAGCGGGCCCACCGGTGACCTGAGTTAGCCTGGGGAGACCCAGGGGGTGTGGTGTGTTCTCCAGGGTACTGCTGATAGTGGAACCCAGGTGGGTGGTATGTGTGGGAGCTGCTGGGGCTGCCAGCAGCTGTCCTTCTGGTTGGTGAGTGGAAACTTTCAGTGACCCCTCAGGGCCTGGCTGTAGGATCCCGGGTGGCCAGGAATGGGCCAACTTCATTTGCAGAGGGGACTGTCGAAGTCCACGTCCTGTCAGTGTGCAGAGTCAAATGGCTGAAACTCAAGATATTTTTATGCAATTTCTTTCACACCTTGTTATTATAGAAAAGAGTCAAACTTGTTTTTTTTCAAAATGATGTTAAGATCTCATTGTGTTGCCCAGGCTGGCTTCAAAACTCCTGAATTAAAACATCCCTACTAACCATCTTTAGCCTCTCAAGTATCTGGAACCAAGGGTACCACCAAAGCCTGGCTTTGAAACTATTTTGTCAAACCCTATTGTGAAGTATTTATTCTTCCTCTTACCTCATCTTAGAAAATGTTTAGTAGTTTTGTTGGGCATATTGGCACTCACCTTTAATCCCAGCACTCAGAGGCAGAGGCAGGAGGATCTCTGTGAGTTTGAGGCCAGCCTGGTTTACACAGTGAGTTCCAGGCCAGCTGGGGCTACAGGGAAAACTTGTCTCAAAAAAAAAAAAAAGATGTTTAGTAGTTTCTAGTTGTTCTAATAAATATAATAAAGACTATGCTGCACATCTAGGTTTAGGAGTATGTTAGAGGCTAGAGTCATGGCTCGGGGTTAACAGCATGTATGGCTCCTGTACAGGACCTGAGTTCAGGCAGCTCACAACCTCTTGTAATTCCAGCTCCAAGGAATCCAACGTCCTCTTCCGGCCTCCGTGGATCCCTGCACATACATACACACACATATACACTTAACTTTTTAAAAAATATTTTAAATATTTTATTTATTATTTTATGTGTATGTGTGTATTGCCTGTATGTAGGTAAGTGCACCCGTGTTGTGCAATGCTCGTAGAGGACAGAAGAGGCCATCAGATCACCTAGAACTGGAGTTACCAACAGTTGTTAGCTGCCATGTGGGTGCTGGGATTTGAACCCAAGGTCTTCTGCAAGAACAACCAGTGTTCTTAACCGCTGAGCCATCTCTCCAGCCCCAACTTAATTTTTTTTTTTGAGACAGGGTCTCCCTGTAGCCCCAGCTGTCCTGGAACTCACTATGTAGACCAGGCTGGCCTCGAAATCACAAATATCCGCCTGCCTCTGCCTCCCAAGTGCTGGGATTAAAGGCATGCACCACCACACCCGGCCAACACTCAATTTTTTAAAAATTAAAAAATAGGGGCTGGAGAGATGTCTCAGGGAGAGCACTGGCTGTTCTTACAGAGGACCCAGGTTTGATTTCTAACACCCACATGACAGCTAACAACTGTCTGTAACTCTAGTTCCAAGAGATCTGATGCCCTCTTTTGGGCTCTGTGGGCACCAGGCATGTACGTGATGCACTTGCATACATGTAGGCAAAACACATAAAAATCAAAAAAAGAATTACTCATTAGGTACCCCACTCCACACACCATTTTCAAGAGGAACATGAGGCTCCCACTCAACACAGTTCCTATTCAAATGATCAAACATTTAGCTGAAAGATTGAAATCTTCAGAGTTTAACTTTTCACTCATGACAGTTTGAGAAGCAAACGACCCAGCAGGGGGCAGTGGAAGGCGGTGGGTGGGGGAGTCAGGGGCTCTTCACTAGGGCACAGCCTCTTCCCTGGGGATGATGACCCCATGGGGGTTCTCATAACAGTGTGAGGGTCAGGAGAGATTTTGTTAACAGTAAAAGGTTTCCGAACACCATGTGGGTGCTGGGAGTTGAACACGGGTCCTCTGCAAGAGCAGTCAGTGTTTATGTCCGCTGAGCCATCTCTCCAGCCCCAATGTGTTTTGTTTTTTAAATGTATAAGAATTTTCTATTCTTTTTTTTTTTTTTTTTTTTTTTTTGGTCTTTTTGAGACAGGGTCTCCCTATGGCCCCAGCTGTCCTGGAACTCACTATGTAGACCACGATGACCTTGAACTCACAGAGATCTGCCTGCCTCTGCCTCCCAAGTGCTGGGGTTAAAGGCATGTGCTACCACACCCAGTGAATTTTCTATTCTTACAGAAATGTGGTTTAATTACAGAAAACAAAACCTTTTTGTATTTTCCTATCATTCTTTGGAACGTAAATATCAAATTATTCTATCTTTAAATTGCATTAGAATGTTTGATTTTTAAGGACTTTTACTTTCAGTAATGTGTATGTATGTGTGTGAGCCTTTGCCACGTGTGTGCAGGTGCCTGAGGAAGCCAGAATTGGGTGTCGGATCCCCTAGAGATGGAGTTACAGGCAGTTGTAGTAGCTGATGCAGGCGCTGGAAACTGAACCCGGGTCCTCCAAAAAGGAGCAAGAATTCTCACCTGCCGGGCCATCTCTCCACATCAGAAGGTCTGACTCCATGAACTGTTCTGTGACTACCTATTGTGGTGGTGCATGCCTATAATCCCATAGGTAAAGTTCAAGGTCATCCTTGGCTACATAGTGAGTAAAAGCCAGCTTGGGCTATAGGAGACCCTGTCTCAAAACAAAACAAACAAGATGGCAGTAAGTTCATCTAGGGACACAGAATTTAGCTTAAAGTTGCTTGCTCGAAAGTTACTTAGGGGCTGGAGAGATGGTTCAGTGGTTAAGAGCACTGACCACTCTTGCAGAGGACTGGGGTTCAATTTCCAGCACCCACATGGTAGCTAACAACTATCCGTAAGTCCAGTTCTTAGGGGATCTGATGCCCTCTTCTAACCTCCGTGGGCATTGCATGACACAGGTGCACTTACATACCTGCAGGCAATACACTCATATGCATAAAATAAAAATAAAACATATATTAAAAAAAAAAAGTTACGGGGCTGGAGAGATGGCGCAGTGGTTAAGAACACTGGTTGTTCTTGCAGAAGACCCAGGTTTGAATCCCAGCACCCACATGGCAGCTAACAACTGTCCAAAACTCCAGTCCCTTGGGATCCGACAGACTCTTCTGACCTCCAAGGGCATTGCATGACATGGGTGCACTTACCTACATGCAGGCAATACATGTGTACACATAAAATAAAAATAGTAAATAAAATTACTTAGAATGGAACAAAATCCTTCTGGTGCTCATGAAAATCTCTGGGTTTACTGCTTGCTTTTCCAAACACACATGGCATTTTACAGTCAGATCACACACCTCTTGACCTGTCCCTGACCCCCAAGGTACATCTAAAAGGCCAAGTGCAAATGTTAAAGTAATCCAAGCTTCTATTTAATAACAGTTCAGAAATTGTTTGAGGAGCACAGATATCAACAACTTCATTAAACTTTGAGCTTCCTAAGAGAAAGGAAAGACAAGGTGAGAGGCGGGAAAACATTTGCCACGGCCCGTAACTTCAGTCACCGCACAGAGCCCAGGGTTTGTTACAGTGGATCAGTCCCCAGACTGACAAGGCAGGCAGGTAACACGTCAGCACCGCAGAAGCTTTTTGCTTCAGCTTCTTGGTAGGAGAATGTTATCATACGTTTTTAAAAATAACCCTTCTAAATGTAGAAATTGGGAGTCCAAGCACGTAATGTCAAGTTCACTCACTTCAGCACAATCTTTCGGCTTCAAAGCTGTCTACTAAATCTTGACTAAGGCATTTTTTTCTTTTTCCTTTTTTTTTTGGGGGGGGGGGGGTGTCTTTTTGAGACAGGGTCTCCCTGTAGCCCCAGCTGTCCTGGAACTCACTATGTAGACCAGGCTGGCCTTGAACTCACAGAGATCTGCCTGCCTCTGCCTCCTGAGTGCTGGGATTAAAGGCGTGCACCACCACGCCCGGCTCTTTCTCCTTTTTAAAACAGAGTCTCACTATGTTGCCCTGGCTGGCCTTGAACTCATAGATAAATGCTTGCCTCTGCCTCCTAAGTGCTGCGATTAAAGGCATACGTTGCCATGCCCAGCCTTTATTCCTGATTTCTTTAAACACAAAAAATTTTTAATTTACTGATCAATGACCCTGCTCACAAATATTGATGCTGATAATCAACATGAAACAATGTGCTGTTTTAGGGGAGATTTCATTAGATAAGGATAAACAGAGAAGTAAGATTTTCCATGCTGTTTAAAAAAATTACAATGTACACAATCTTGAGCATAACCCCATGTTAAGAATTCTTCAGCATTTAGCTTAAAAGGTGCTTCTTCCCAAGAAACTGAACTTTTCTGTCAAATGCACTTGATCGAATAGGAGAATTGGGCTCATAAAATGGATTCATTGCAAACTTGATATACAAGTCATAGACGTCAGTGAAGAAGTTCTTTATCCCATCTTCCTGCTTCACGTCGTGAAGCATCAGGAATCTCATATGCCCTGCAGTGACAAACGCCGACACAAACCACTCGTTGAATTTGTCCACAGTTTTCAGGTACATATTGTTGGAAAGCCACATGTTCTCCGCCACCAGGTCGAGAGCGGCATGGGCTATGAACTGGTTCAGGTGGCGATGTTCATCTTTAGATTCCGTTTTCCCAGCTGGCAAGAACTCCATTTCAAATACTGGATTATCATGATGGCCAACAATGACAAAGTAGAAGCTTCCGGACATTGTTTTTGGTATATGACTCCCTGTAGTGAGACGCAACAACAGAAATGCCAGGTCAGTCCACCAACATTTTATTAGGGTCTTGCTGCAGCCCAGGTTAGCCCGGAGTTCTCGATCCACCTATCTCAGCCTCTCAAGTTCTAGTATTACAAGCAGGAACTACCATTCCTGGCCCAGCTACCAAAATTTGAATCGATTAAAAATTTTTATGTGTATGTGTATGTGCATGTGCTTGTGTGCATTTATGTGCACCACATAAGTACAGGAGCCTGCAGAGACCAGAAGGCATCAGATCACATGGAAATGGAATTACAGACTGTTGTGAGCCATCATAAATATGGGTGCTGGGAATAGAACCCAGGTCCTCTGCAAGAGAAGCCAGCGCTCTTAACTGCCAGCAGTGGAGAAGCAGAGGCAGGCAGATCTCTTCGAGATTAAGACCAGCCTGTTCTAGATTTCCAGTTCCAAGCCAGCTAGGGTTATAGGGAGACTGTGTCTCAACAAAAAACAAACATAGGGGGAGGGGGGAGGGGGGGTTAAGAGCTGGCTTAGCATTAAGTGCACTTACTGTTCTTTCAGAGGACCCAGGTTCGGATCCTAGCACCCACATGGCAGCCTTAATTCCAATTCCAGGGGATAAGATGCCCTTTTCTGGCCTCTGCAAGCACCAGGGATACACATGTTGCACTTACATACATGCAAGTGAAACACTCATACATAAAAATACAATCTTAAGAAAAAAATCACTGATAGCCAGGCGTGGTGGCGTGTGCCTGTAGTCCCAGCACTTGGGAGGCAGGCGGATCTCTGGGAGTTCAAGGCCAGCCTGGTCTACATAGTGAGTTCCAGGACACCTGCTTCAAAAAGACCAAAAAAAAAAAAAAAAAAAATCCCTGAAAGAAATGAACAAGCCTCACCCACCTCTGATCCCTAAGGAGCTCTGGCAGTCAATGCTGGGGAAGGAGTCAATTTTTCAGTACCACTGTCTAGTTCCCCATGCTCATACAAGTAACCCTAATTAAACTCAGTGGCTCAGAAAGAAAACAAAACAAAACAAGGGCTGGAGAGATGGCTCAGTGGTTAAGAGCACTGATTTCTCTTGCAGCGGACCCGGGGTTTGAGTCCCAACACCCACATAAAGGTGGAAGAAGAGAACCAATTCCACAAAGTTGTCCTCTGACCTCCACATGCATGCTATGGCATGCAAGTACCTCCCTATCATACACACATGAAACAATGTAAGACATGAAAATAAAATGGGATAAGGGGTTCAGTGGGAATGGGATGATGAGGAAGGGTAGTGGAGAGAGATAATGACCAAAACACATTATACTTGTGTATGAAATTATCAAAGAGTAATTTTTTTTTTTTGTCTTTTTGAGACAGGGTCTCCCTGTAGCCCCAGCTGTCCTGGAACTTGCTATGTAGACCAGGCTGGCCTTGAACTCACAGAGATCCTCCTGCCTCTGCCTCCCAAGTGCTGGGACTAAAAGCATGCACAACCAAGCCTGGCTGAGTAATCATTTTCTGAAAATAAGAAAGCAGCTCTGTGGAACAGAATGTCATGCACTGGGTTCACGGATCACTAACAGCAGTTCTGCTGGCCTGCAGATGCAATGCAATCTCTTTCAAACTTTCTTTGCTGAGTTTGACAGGCCTATCCTAATATTCGTATCTATCATCTATCTACCTACCTATCAATCATCTATCTATCTATCAATCAATCATCTATGTATCTATCTTTGTTTTTTTGGGACAAGGGTCTTGGGTAGCACAGGTTGGCCTGTAACTCCCTGTCGAGGATGACCGTGAGCTCCTGCTCCTCCTGCCTCCCTCAGTGCTGGGATTGCAGGCATAATCCACCAAACCTATTAAAATAAAATTAAAAAAACCCAACCTAAACGACTTTTTCCTTAAGGTGCTGGGGACCAATCCTGGGCATCCCTCAGGCTAGTGAAGCGGCTACCCTGGGCTACATCCCCATTTTAAGGACACCTGAAGCTCACGCCTGTGACTCCCCGTGGTCCTCTCCCTTGGCAACCGAGATCCTTTAAGTACTCTGACTTGTGCTAGGGACAGGGTCGTGATGTGGCACAGGCTAGCCTACACCTTGAGGCTCTGGGGCGCTGAAATAACAGGAGCGCGCCACCAAGCCGGGCTTAGGATTCTGACAACTGTAAATACCTCACATAGGTGGGCTTCCCTCGGGTCCGGAAGTACGAGAGCCGCAGGTTAACATGGAGAAGGAATGCGCCCAGGACCCAAACGTACCTTAGCGTCACAGGATAGCTACGGCCCCAGCGAGGACCCAACTGAGCATGCGCACATCCTCACACGCCTCAGGGAGAAACCGCACCCTCCCCGGCTGCCATCTTAGATCCGGGCATCGAAGGCCACAGTATGGGCTCACGCTCTTGCGCGACCGCGGAGGCCGCGAGCCCGACCCTGGCCGCCATCTTCGGTTAAGGCCGCCGGCTCTGGCCGCCATCTTGGTTAGGGCGCGGTGGGACGTTGGGTTCTTGCAGGCCTTGGCTGGCTCTTGCACTACGCCTTTCCCCGCCGCCTTTTCCTTGGTGCTGGCGTTCCTGCTGTTCACTCGAGGTGAAGAGAATCGGCACTTGGAGTCGGAGGCGGGAGACCCACGTCAGTGAGGCGCAGCTTCAGACTATGCCGGTGCCAGGAAGCAAGATGGAAGTTGCAGCGTCAGGCGCTTGTGTCCAGACCTTCCGCAGGCGGGGTGCATAGGCGGAAATGCTTTAGGGAGCAATTGAGCTGGGATTGTATGTGGTTCTGATTTGCAACTTGAAGTTCAGATACACTCCCGGTTTCTTCCCAGGTTTTCCCCGTTTTATTACAAAGGAGTTTCCGCGTGAAGGCTTTCTGCATCCTTTCATTCCCAAATCCCCTTCCAACAGACGCTTAGAAACCGCTTTTGCTAAACAGCATTGACTTCTCACTTGGGCCCCCAGGTTACTAGAAAGGTTACGTGATGAAGTTTGGCTTTTCTAGTTTTCCTTTTGTGTCTGTCTACTTTGGGTCAGACTTCCGGCCGTCTCCTCGTAGGTGTGGTAAGGAGCGCCTGTCTACTTATCACACGCAGGGACACAAAGATGAGTCGTTGTCCTAGACCGCAGGCACCTTGATAGGGATTGGGCAGGAGGAAAGGGAATGAAATGTCCTCCCAGTCTTCTTCCCAGCACAATTGGAGACAGAACTATGAACGTGTCAGCTTCCGGCAGTTGCTCATAGACTTCCATTGCTGAGCCTGCCTGCTTTCTTGACCTCTACTTCAGGAAGCAGAACTTTTGTTTTGGAGACTGGGGCTTGCTGTACTTGAAGTCACATATATCTGCCTGCCTCTTCCTCTAAGTGCTGGAATTAAAGGTGTGCCCCACCAGGCCACATAAAATATGTATATTTTTATGAGTGTTTTGTGTGCATATAAGTGCACCCATGTTGTGCAGTGCGTGGGATCCCCTAGGAACTGGTTAGGGAGGGCTGCTAGCCACTATGTGGGTGCTCTACAACAGCCAGTGCTCTTGTCTGCAGAAGCATCCCTTCAGTCCCTGCGCGCGCGTGCGTGCGTGCGTGCGTGCGTGCGTGCGTGCGTGTGTGTGTGTGTGTGTGTGTGTGTGTTAGTGTCTGTGTCTTTGTGCACAAGTGTGGGTGTGTGGAGGCCAGAAGTTGAAGTTTAGTATCTTCTGTAACTCTCCACCTTATTTTTTGAGACCCTCTCCCTATGTAGCTCTGCTGGCCTTGAACTTACGATCCTGCCTCAAGTGCTGTGATCACAGCTCAGGAATCTTTTTAAAAAAGTTTTTATTTTATATGTATGAGTGTATTGCCTGCATGTATGCCCGTGGTACCTCCAGTCTAACCAGAATCTTTTGTAAGACAGCTCTGCTCCTACCTGGACCCAGCAGCCTGCATCACCTAACTCAAAACTTATCCCCACAAGGGTTTTGAACACTTGTTCCCAGCTGGTAGTGCTGTTCTGGGAGGCTGTGGAATCCTTAGAAGGTGAGCCCTCTGAAGGGACCTCTGAAAATTATACCTGGGCCCTGGTTCCTGACTCTGTCTCTGCTTCCTACTCTACTGTGATGCAGTCAGCCTCTGCTCTGCCAATGCCGCAAAGGTCAGAGAGGGCATCAGATCCCCTGGAACTGGAGTTGTGGGCGGATGTTAGCCGCCATGTGGGTACTGGGAATCGAAACTGGGTCCTCTGCAAGAGCAGTCAGTGCTCTTAACCGCTGAGCCATCTCGCCAGCCCCACTCAGGAATCTTAAAGTTTTAAATAAGTATGTTTGAGATGCTTAGAAAGAGGGATCATATGCATTAAAAATAATACATTATTGGGGCTGGGCATGGTGGCACATGCCTTTAATCCCAGCACTAGGGAGGCAGAGGCAAGTAATCTCTGTGAGATTGAGGCCAGCCTGGTCTACATACTGAATGAGTTCCAGACCAGCTGGGGCTACCCGGAAACCCTGTCTCAAAAAGACCGGAAGAAACAAACGACAACAAAAAACCCAAACCAAAAAATAACAAAAAATACATTATTGGATAAAATCAGAAATGAATTAAACAGGGATATTAAAATCAATCTTGGAAATAAAATATAGTTATACATACATAAAAGATTAAACTCTAGTACAGGTAAGATCAAGCATTAATGAAAACAAACATGTAATAGGAATCCTGGGGGTAAAAAAAGAAGAGGGCAGGACAAATACATGCCAGGCACGTGGTATAATCTTGTATTCCCAGCATTTGTGAGGCAGAGGCAGGAGGATTGCCCATGAGTTTGAGGCCTGCGTGAACTTCAATACTGAGCTCTAGGCCAGCCTGGTGGTCAGGTTTGGGACTGGGTGTTTCCAGGTTCTTGGCCTCTTATTCAAAGAATTGCAAGTAATGGCTCAACAAATTCGCAAAAGTAGCAAGATAACTTTATTCAAAGCAAAGCAATAGCACAGGTTAGAGATTCATTGTCAAGACTGACAACGGTCCACACGAGTGAAATTAGGGTCTGGATTATTGTTTGGGGCTTCTTTTTATGGGGTTCAAGAGCAGGAGGAGCTGGTTATTAAGGGGCATATTTTGAGTAGTTCTGGTTTGATCGACTGGGTCATACACTCATTTTTCTACTGCGCATGTTCCTTCTTATAAGGCATCTGATTTTATTTTTTAAATTTTATTTTTATTTTATGTGCATGTATTGCCTGCATATAGGTAAGTGCACCCATGTCATGCAATGCCTGTGGAAGACAGAAGAGGCTTTCAGATCCCCTGAACTGCAGTTACGGACAGTTGTTAGCTGCCATGTGAGTACTGGGATTTGAACCCAGGTCTTCTGCAAGAACAGTCAGTGTTCTTAACCGCTGAGCCATCTCTCCAGCCCAAGGCATCTGATTTTAATCACATCATGCCTAGTTACACAGAGGCATAAGGGAAGTAGGGGATGGTCCCCAGAGGTTTTCCTTAGACACACTTTTACCTTACAGTACAGGCAGCCAAGCCAGTATAGACAGTATCAGCCTAGGTATTCCTCCCATCCCCAAACATTTGTTCATGTATGTCCATGTGTGTGCCTTGGCATATGTGTGACGGTCAGACACAACCTTCAGGTTCGTTGTCCTGGGGCTCAAACTCAGGTTGTCAGGCTTGGCAACAAGTGCCTCTACCTTCTGAGCCATGTTTCCAGCTCCTGTCCTGTATATTCTTTGTAAACCCTCCCCACCTCCCCTGAATACATTGGAATATGTTTGGGAAGAAACTAAGCTTGATTTTTGTTAGGGCAGGAGAAACTTATCACCCACTGTTAGTTAGAGCAGTGTACATGTAGCCCAGTGCAGGTGGCTTCTGAGGTTGCTCGGTGCACTGTTCAGATGTACATGCAGCTAAAGGGGCTGGGCTGCCAAGTGTATTAGAAGAGGGGCATGCATGGCCCAATCCAAGTAGAGTCCCTGGTTACTAAACCTCTCCCATGCTTAACCCTTAGCCCTACCTCAAAAAAAAAAATCTTGAAGAGAAGATGACGAGGCATTTTCGAGACGTGAAGACAAGGATCTTCAGACTCAGGTGTTGTCTGAAGAATGAGGTGACGAGTAAACCAGGGAGACAAAACTGCAGACAGGAAGGAGGAGGTAGAGTGTGTTGGGACAGCAGCTGGGCTTGTGCACAGCAGTCACAGGACAGTGGAGCAGTTAGGGTTCCAGCTATCCTTGCAGAGTGTGCCTCAAGAATTTAGTTTAGGGCTGGAGAGATGGCTCAGTGGTTAAGAACACTGGTTGCTCCTGCAGAAGACCCGGGTTTGAATCCCAGCACCCACATGGCAGCTAACAACTGTCTGTAACTCCAGTTCCAAGGTATCCGACAGCCTCTTCTGTTCTCCTTGGGCATTGCACGACACAGGTGCACTTACCTACACGCAGGCAATACATGCATACACATAAAATATAATGAAATTTTTTTAAAAAGTTTGGTTTAGGGCTAAGGATATGGCTCAGTTGGTAGTGGTTGCCTAGCATGCACCAAAGTCCTTGGTTCATCTCCAAAACCACATCAAACCAGACATAATGGCAGATGCTAGTAATTCTAATACTTGGGAGGTAGAGGTAGGAGGATCCGAAGTTCAAGGTCATCCTTGGCTACATTAGTGAACTGGAGGCCAGTCTTGGCTATGTGAGAGCCTATCCCACAAAACAACACAACCCGAGGAGGCTGAGGCAGGAGGATCTGAGCTTAAGGCCAGCTTGGACTATTTTAAACAACCAGTCACTGTATGTAAGCTCTTTTAATTAACTTTATTGAATAGCCAAATTCATAAGTTAGCACAGATAAAACGATTGTTTGCATGGGTTACAAATGACTTTTTCTTTTAAACAGGAATAAAACAGTGAAAATTACAAACTGTAAAAAGGAAGACAAATCTTGTCTCTAACATTTCAGAGGCAAGATTTAACACAATACATTGAAGATCAATACATATTTTAATTTGAAAACAGGAATTTAATGTTACATTATTATATACTACTTTACAAAATTAAAGTATCTAGGTAAGGATTATATTTGTAATAGTTAAAACCTTGAAATCACATTTGGTGGTCCCCTAGATAACAGCTGTTATGTATCTCTGATTAGAAGAAATAAATCTTTTATTTTAATTATTGCAAAAGTCTATTAGACTTAATACATTACATTAAATTAAAAACAAATATATGCAAGCTAAAATAAACGGTACTGCTTGAGTGAATATTAGCATGTCAGACTTATGGAAACATTATTTTAAAAATTCTAGAAATTAGAAAAATAGAGTACTTTTATGGTAGAACTGCCATGCTCAGATTTATATACCAAGATTGCCCTTGTTTGTGACTTTAGTAGCTGTAGATCTGTAGAAAATTCAAGGATCTTTCATAATTTACAACTACAATAAAAAAAATATGGCATAGTGTAAATATTAGTTGCTTTACATCAAAAAGTAATAAGATGATACGGAGGGTAGTGTCACTGAAAAAAAAAATCAAACAAAAAACATTCAATATTGCTAAAAATAACTCTATCAATATTCCCCTAAGGCTCACTCCCTTTTTATCTGAAGAACAAAAACCGTGACTCCTAAATAAAATTATGCTTTGATGACCTGTCATAAAATTACTCTGGATTGCACGTTACACAGTATCTAAGATAAAATTTGTGAAATACACTAATAAAGCAGGTGATAACCGAGAGTCAGACTCACTCAGGGAAGCAGGGAGGCACAAGAAGTTTGTCCCCAGGAGCACAAAGGGCTTCCTCTGGAAGATTCTTTACTATTATTTGGAAAGGGCCTGCAAATATCAGCATTTAAAATCACATTAGGAAGAACCTTTAGCTCATTTAAAGAAACACCAGTACATAATAACTGTGTTTCCTTAAAAGAGGGGGAAATAAAAATTTATATGCTATAATTTGAAAATTGCTTCTCATCAAATGAAGCAGCTTTCAAGAAAAGTTTAAAGTACTGTGTGGATGCTGAAAAATAGTCTTTTTGCTTTGTTTTTGTTTTGAGACAGAGTCTTGCTCTATTTATGTAGTCTTGGTAGCCCAGGCTAGCAATCCTCCTGCTTTAGCCTCCCAAGTACTGTGGTTAGAGGCATGTGCCACCACGCCCAGCTTGAAAAAAACCCCCAAAACCATAACACTGCTTAAAGGAGTTGACGTTGTCATAGGACACTTCTGCCGCTGCAGCAGAAGCACTAGTTGTAGACTCCAGGGACCTGCTCCCCACCCCAAAGCTGAAGTCAGTCCCCACGGACGTAAACCTGAAAGTTACTATTTCATTGGTGATCCTGTAAGACCAAGATTGTAAACACAGATTCTAACTATGAAAACAAAATCCAAACCTTTTCATCAAGTATTACACAGGGACATCATTTAAGAAATTCATACAAGATGAACCTATGAAAACTGAGCCAAACTCTTTTAAAGATATATCACAGCATTTTAAATATATAGATGGATAATTTACCTAATTGTAAACAAAAGTTGTTTAATCGTTTTGACTATAATATTCTTTAAACCAAAACGAGCAGTCTTTTGAGCATGTTCAGAAATCAAGTTTCTTTTAGAACTTTAACATGATGGATTTGCGTATTTTAACATCCTCCAAATCAAACAGCAGCAGCCATACTTTTAACAGGTTTTAACATCCCAGCATATCTGAGTGGCTTCCAATTTAATTATCAAACGCCCCAGGACAATGCTGATACATTCTGAGGTGGCATTTAAGGAACCTTTAGCTTCCCTCATTCACCCTCATTTTACCAAAGTAACACTTTCATTACCCACAGCGGAAGTGTACCAAACACAAACCCAGTAGAGAATCAAGGTAACCAAGATTTCCCATCTCCCTATGATCATCCCAGGTCCCAGTATGTTTATAAAGACTGCTAAAGTTCTTCAGGGCAGAGTCAAACATGACGGCTAAGTCTTCTGTAAGTCAGAAGTCACTAGTTACAGTCTTCACCTCAAAGCAAAGTGGCTTTGTTCAAGTAGAGAATACTGACAGACTTTAAAGCTCCATGTGTCACTCCACACTCTTCTCAGGGTAGACCAGAGCTAGTTTACTCCAGTTTTCAGTTACCATCATGATCCTTTCCCTCTCTTAAAAAAGGAGAAGGGGGGAAAAAACAAAACAAAACAACAAACAAGTATGGGGGATGAATTCCAGCTTTTCTACAGTCTGTTTTCTTTTGGATTTTCCAATTTAAAGATTATCAGTGGATCTGAAAATTCCCTGCAACGCTTAGTCTTGTGAGGTTTCTAAATGTAGCAGCCAAAAATTAAAAAAAAAGAAATATACATGCAGAACACAGATGTCTTTATTTTACAAAATATACTTTGCCTATGCAATATTGTCTTACCTCCATCCACAACAACTCAAACATAATTGGCAGCAAAAGAAAAGAGGTTTCCAATCATGTGCAGATTTATCTGATTTGGAAAATACAGCATTTCAGAGTTGTGTGTCTGACGCTCTGCTGTGGTCCTTTATTTGCTATAGTTTGTTGAAATCACAGTGAAACATCTTAATCACATTTGTTCACAATCGTAAGTGGAGAAGTAAGGTGCTACACTGAGAGCCCTGCACTGCCACTTCCTTGGAGCCCGAGGTTGCTTCATTTGTTCACTTGCTGCTGTATGTGCAAGAGGAACTCATAGTATGACAGTGCGGACTCTGTTCTGTCTTCTACCATGTTCTGAAGGAAGGCTGCTTTCATTGGACTCTCATCCCTTAGAGAGAAAAAGAATTTGTATATATTAGATGCAGCAGAGTAAGTCATGGATATTCTCAAAAGCTAATGACCGACTGTGGCAACTACTACATTATTTGCCATATAGCTCTATCTAAAGGCTTTCTTTGAGAATACTTGGCTGATTATGTAAATGTCATGCGTTTAGCAGAAAAGTTTATGAGTTAGGAGAAACTAGTGATTAATTTTTTTGAGACAGGGTCTCACTATGTAGTGCTGACTGCCCTGGAACTCACTAAACTCACTATGTGGACCAGGATGGCCTCAAACTTAGAGAGACCCACCTACATTTGGAGTACCGGGATTAAAGGAGTGTGTCACAAGGCCTTCAAAATCATTTACTAACGAGTTTATTGAAAGCTTAATCATTCTAAAAATTGATTATAAAAGCACCAGGCGTGGTGGCGCACGCCTTTAATCCCAGCACTCAGGAGGCAGAGGCAGGTAGATCTCTGTGAGTTTGAGGCCAGCCTGGTTTACATAGTGAGATAGTGAGTTCCAGGATAGCTGGGGCTACATACAGGGAGACCCTGTCTAAAAATGAAAATTGATTATCAAGCACAAAAGATGAAATTTTTATTTATTTAATGTATATGAGTGTTTTGCCTGCATGTATGTTAAGTGCATGACATGTGTGCAATGCCCATGTTGGCCAGAAGAAGGTATTGGATCCTGTGAGCTATCATGTAGGTGCTGGGAACAAAACTGGGGTCCTCTGAAAGAGCAGCCTTACGTATTTTAAATTAATGAACCAATTAATCAATCAACCAATCAATCAAATTATTTTTGGTCTTTTGGGGACAGGGTCTCCCTGTGGCCCAGGCTGGCCTTGAATTCACTATGTAGACCAGGCTGCCTCTGCCTGCCGAGTGCTGGGATTAAAGCTGTGCACCACCATGCTCAAGTTTGCATTTTCATTTTTTTTTGGTCTTTTTGAGACAGGGTCTCCCTGTAGCCCCAGCTGTCCTGGAACTCACTACGTAGACCAGGCTGGCCTTGAACTCACAGAGATCCACCTGCCTCTGCCTCCCAAGTGCTGGGATTAAAGGCATGTGCCACCACACATGGTTGTATTTTCATTTAAAATTTTTTTTAATTTATTATTTTTTTATGTGTATGAGTGTATTGCCTACATGTATGTGAGTGCACCCGTGTCGTGCAATGCCTCGGAAGTCAGAAGAGGGCTTCTGATTCTCCTGGAACTGGAGTTAAGGACAGTTCATAGCTGCCATGTGGGTGCTGGGAATCGAACCCGGGTCCTCTGCAAGAGCAGCAGTGCTCTTAACTCCTGAGCCATCTCTCCAGTCCTGTATTTTCATTTTTTGAGACAGGGTCTCATTTGTGAAGCCCAGGCTGGCCTTAAACTCAAGCTATAGCCATGGATGATCTTGAACTTCTGACTCTTTGCCTCCATGGAAAGCTGGGATTACAGGTATGTTTCGCCATGAGTGGTTTTATGTGATGCTGGGCAAGAATCTACCCTGTAAGCCACACCTACAGATCCTTTTTTTAATATTCTTTAAAAAGGTGCCATGTGGTAGCAAACAACCCATAACTCCAGGGGAATCTGGGTTGGATTCCCAGCACCCACATGGTGGCTACAAATCATCCTTAACTCCAGTTCCAGGGGAATCTGAAGCTCTCTTCTGACCTCTGAGGCAATGCACGACACAGGTGCACTCACACACATGCAGGCAATACACTCATACACATAAAATAAAAATAATAAATAAAACCGGACGTGGTT